TGTCAAATAACACAGGTCAGATGTAACAGGGACACAAAAATGTCACACTCCTCGACCCCTAATTTCTGGAATTACCCATGTAAATGTATACGTACGTATAATCTCTGAAATTAATTACATGTACATGTATGGTACATGTACACGTACATGTATGTACATTTTATACCACATCTGTCATGTCTGCACCGGTAGGTATTTACCTGAGTTCATGCTGAATGTCACATTGATTTTTCCTTCTCTTGTCCACATTTCGATACTTAAAAACATCCCTTCCAGAAAAGCTTGAGGACGGCACTGTGACTACATGACATCTGATACTGTTACTTGTACATGTAGATACAGCACTGTATGTAAAACTATTCCATACATGCAACCTGTTCGTTGTCCCTACAATGGGATACTCTGCTCCCTTTGCAATATGGAAACCCATAACAGCACTGATAAGGGTAAGCAAACAGCCTGTGCACAAAGTATACACATGCACAATGGTGAAGCCTGATATTCTTCTAGATTAGATTGGAATGGAGGTCTATGGACTTGTGCTTGATCTCATCAATAATTACTCACTCCATGGATGGAATGGATAACTGCATGTTGCGTGCGCACAGTCACAAGGGGGCGCCAGAGATAACTCTACAAGGTAAGATCTTTGACAGGGTACTGGTATTTCTTAAAGTGCTTGCTGTTTTGAGCGTGGAATTAAAGTGAAGCACAAAGCAACACATCAAACAAGAGGTTGCTATGGAGGAGCCAATTTCTGCAGACAGTTGTTTAAGTACATGTATTCCTCCTGCTTGCGGACTTGATGGTTTTCACAGTCCTGGCGTATTCCTAATTAGGCCTCTTTGAGTGTGTAGAATGAGCTTTATGAAGCTCAGGGGCAAGATAGGAAATGACGGAAAACCCACAACACATGATCCAGCAGAAGGGTAGTGGCAGTGACAATGAAATTCTGAGACTTTTTCAGGGCTACTACATGTAATTCACTCCAAATTGGCTGTGATTACTCGTTTGTGTATCCTGCATTTAGCTTTTGGGGGCATGTGGCTAAGTGGTTCGGGTCTGTAGCTTCCAATCATAGAGTTGGAGGCTCAAATCCAGCTGCTGGCAAATGGCAGTATGCTGTGGCCCTTGGCAAGCCACTTAACCCTACTTGCCTCTCTCCACCTAGGAGTATAAATGGTTACCAACATTAGCTGGGGAAGCAACCTGCGCTGGACTGGCATCCTATCCAGGGTGAATAGAAATATTCTCAGACATTTCATGAGAAGGAAACCAGAGATATGTACTGGCCTTATGAGCCAAAGGTGCTTGGAGTCAGACCAGACTTGCTTTGCATTATAGCTTTTTGTATAAAGAGCAAAAAGCATGAAACCACAACTGCTCAGAGCCCTAAAAATCCAGCATATTTCAGGTCTATATTTCTGAAAATTCAGAGCAAACCTGAGAAATTGCTAATTCTGAATACAGTACTGGTACATTGTGTGAGTGGTACTGCAAGAAAAAAAAAATGACGAAAAGATTCAGGAAATGTGCACTATGCACTGTAGGGAACAATGTACATGTAATATGAATCTTTCCCCAGAGCTTCATGTACAAGGACATACATGCATGTACATGTAACAGTACCCCGTCACCTCTGAAGAACAGAAAGGATGGACTGACTACCACTACCATGGTTGGCAGCTCCATCAGGAACAGTCTAGCCACCCCCACCGGTACATGTACAATGTAACCACACACTGATGATGTTTCTCAACCAGCAATGTTGGTCAACAGTTATTTATCTGATGGGTAGTCACTGCTAGAGCAGCCACACTGGATCACAGGGCACCTCTCCTTTTTTCGCACAAATTGAACCCAGTCAATAGACATGGTGGGCCACCATGAACGGAAGGCTACATGTTACTGTTTCGGAGTGATGTGCATCAGTAGTTGTACTTTCATAGCGACTCGCTTATCGAATTTACTTGTTGGTCACTCGGTAAATTTCTGTGTCCCTGTTACATTCTTACCTGTGCAATTTGCCATGTTTGACTCAACAATAATATTGAAATTGACTCCAAACCATATTTAAGGTAATCTGCATTACTTTATCTTTACTTAAGTGTGTTCTACAGAATCACATGATAGACTATGTGAAAGGAGACCAAAAACAATGGACCCTAAAGTAATAGAATGACCTGTGCACATGTTACTGCCCTCCATGGCGTGCTAATGACACAAGCATTCACTTACTTCAATGCAAAGGTTCTTTAAGGCTTTCAAGACACATTCTGGCCTACAATGTATGTACATGTACTCAGGGAAAATCAATTTCAGTGCGCGCAGCCAGGCATTAGTTACATGTACAACGTACAGTACCTTACCCGGTTACCATACGTACTGTATATATAAAGCCAAGTGGACGTTTCCATGTCACATAATGTACTGAATTTACATACATGTACTAGTATACTGTGCTCTGAACAGTACTGATCAAACTCTTAAGTAAATGGTACGTATGTGATGCATACATGTACAAGATACAAGATGTAAACCATGCATTCACATGATGGCCTGAAAATGATACACATGTATATACATTGTACATGGACGTCACAGGGAAGGGAAATGTTGCATTTTCAAAAGGGGCAAGGAGCCAAGCACTGATCAATAGCAAACTGATAAAGCATTCAAAGTTGGGGGGGGGGGCAATTCTCAGGTACTGTATGTATGTACTTTCAAACAAACTAGTGATTTTCATCCTCTTTCTTTCTTTCGTTTCTGCTTCTCTCCCTTCTTTTTTTTACATTTTAAAAGAATTTTTCCACATTTCCCACCTGTAGATAAGTGCTATAACACATCTTGGATGAAAGGTTGATTTAGTGAACTGACAGTAGTCACCGTATACAGGTTAATTTCAAACTCCAAGCAAAAATAAGCCAGTAACCAGGGGATTATGTTTAAATATAAAGAGTGTTTGTGTACAGGTGTTTGTGTTCAAATTCCACACTCTGACAATTTCAGGTTCATGCATGAGACAAACTTCAGACACAAAACCCTGTGCAAGTAAAGGTACAGTGTACTGGCAAAACCAACATTCCTGGTTCTATTATATTTCAAATTGATATAAACACAAGGGCCTCAGTATTGAAAGTGTGAAAATTGTTGCTACAATGAATTGCTGTACTATTGATGGCGTCATCTTTGGTGCCTATTTGACGCTCATCCACACGTTGGAGCAGAACAGTGCTGTGAAAAACGTTATCACATTCGTACAAAAGTAACTTTGACAACTTGAATTAGAAGCTGTAATACGGGAGTATTCACAATAGCGCACCTCCAAAAGTTTGCAACACATTGGCCAATCACAATACGCTAAATCTGTTGACCAAACGCGCATTTGGAAAAGGTTGACAGCTTTTGCCTACTGTGATTGGCCAATGCGTTGCAAAACTCTTGGAGGCGCACTACTGTGATTCGCTGTCATTGTGTGACACTATGCATGTGCATGGGTTGCATGTGCACTTCACGATATGAACACATGTACATGTACATGTACAGTGCCTCTTTGACCACTTTGATCAAACTTTGCACACATGCATGTACATGTACGTACAGTACATGTTCCTCATCAGGTTAGTTTGGTGCTGGATAAATATCAGTCAAGTTAGTTGATTCGTGTGGAGCTACCTAACCCAATTTTAATCCAACTAAACCAAGCAGTGGGCAAATTTAACAGATTAAGTGATCTCATTATGTTGATCTCAGGGCTTGTCAATTTTGTTGGATTTTGTTGGATTTGGTCTGTTTACAGGAGACTTTAAAAGAGTTTAATATAAACATGATTGGGCCAAAAGAAAAATAGTTCTACTTCTGATTTAATATGTGCCTCTCAAAAAAAAGGATCGGTACATTGGAAAAATATTTGGGGGGGGGATAATTTTTGGGGGTCGATTGAATGTGGACGACAGCTACTGGTACATACCAGTATACCAAAAGTTGCCCCAATCAATGAAAAAATGTCTACAGTCAATAATTCTTAAGAATACTGGACAATTCACACCACTATGCACAATGCTAGTCAGGTAATTGCGATTAGAAACTGGCAAACAATGTCTGTACATTTAATACTGCAGGGTAAGCATGCGTGATGCATCTAGAGAATAGAGGGGTGGGTAACAAACCTTGTGAGCAGCAGGAAATTTTGTGGAAACCCACTCGCTTCAAGTAAGGGCAATACAACCTCAAATTAAATTAAAGCGTACACACGGGAACAAGTTTTGCAAATTAAATTGTGTAAGTCTTCTTGCAACGTCAAATTGCTTTCAATGTACAGCTGCAGAGTAACAGTTGCGTGGGCGTGCATTGAAGTGTTACAATGCTATTTTGACTCGGATGCATGGACTGGTTGCCGCATTTCCATCATGCCTTCTTTGGCAATAATGCAGCGTGCTGGGAACCAGTGTAGCATTGCTCCAATGCATCCAGCATTATTGTGTACGTGTTTTCAGCACTGCGATAGGGAACTTGTGAAAATAACAAAAGTTTGTTTTAAAAAGCGGCCGAGGTACGTAAGCAAACATATACATACACACATCATGAACATGTATGATGTACCATCGTTTTGACGTCAAAAAAATTGTTGAGAGGTGTTTTGTGAAGACAGAAAAGACAACGGGATAGTAAACAAAAATTTCCAAATTTAAAAAAAATCGTGTTTCTAACATGCTGATAAAATGTTAGGGTCAGACTGAAAAAAGTTAGGGTCAGTTGGGAAACCGAAAGCAGAACTATTTTTCTTTCTTTTTGGCCTTGTCACAGATTTTATGGAATCCCTTCATCAACATTCCACATGTCACCGGTATGTACATGCACCTGTACAATGCCCACCATGCATGGATACTCGAACATGCAACAAAACAAAAAAATCAACACACCAGTATGCACACATGCATGTCTAGACACGCAGAGACATGCCATTCGTATTCATTCACTATGTACATGTACAAACTTACCTACACGAACATGTAGAGCATTTTGCCCTACACATCAACATAAAGAGGCAACAGCCCAGCGTTTAACAGGAGATGAAAAGAAAGACTTTGGCAAATGTCGACACTCAGGCGCCATCTATGAGAACAATGCACGTCGAAGGGAGAAAAGCAAAGGGTGGGGGTGGTAGAAACAAAGAACAACACAGAGTAGGGGGGGAAAAAAAAGAAAGAGTTGAGTGGTGAATGAAAAACAAGGGTGCATGCAATGGTTAATCAGAACTGGTGCCAAATCCAGATGAGTGGACATTTATGTTTTTACAGTAGAAAACCAAAGCGGAATATCAGTTGTGTCAAATTTACATGTAGGTGACGATAAATCCTTTTCTGTACTATCAGAAACTGCGTCCAGCATACATGTAACGAGGAGACTCACTTGGTGTTAATGTTGCTACCAGTAGATTAGGTCCAAGGTTTCTTTTGTTCAACAGAACAATCATTTTTACCTCCATCCAGTGAGTATTTGCCCAGTAACACACTTTCACTTGTCCCTTGCCCTCATGCATATGGAAGGCGCTGAGACGGACATACAACGTGTCCACATTGTTTTGTACAGGAAGTTGGAAATTGCTGGCACTGTTGACAGAAATCTCATTTGGCAAAGCACAAACCTTGCTGACTCAGTCGAAGATTGGTTATAAATCTCCGTAAATATGAATGGATGTGGATCGTATACATGTGTAGCTGGACACAAAATCGCAGAATATTTTTTCAGCACACTTTGTCCAGGTGAGCATCTGAGAGATTTCTTTTGGATTTGCCACAGTTTAAAAGGGAGTCATGCAATTTCAAAGAAAATGGTTATGATAAAAAGAACAAAATAGAAAACATTAAAATTTGAATTTTGGAGTAAATTATATATGAATATCTCATGACAAGACTGACACACCACTTTACACATACAACATGTTGTTACACTCAGTGCAGAATTAGGAAAGTCTACCATATATGTATTTAGTTACAGTATATTAAAATGGAGTACACTACCCGGTTTTGTTAAAGTGGTCATAACAGAAGTAAATTGTCCAGTCACTTTAGAATGCTATACAGTTGTTAATGTTTGTGATTCAGAAATCACATTAAAACAGACAAAAGTTGGATTTTTAAAAAATGCTGCCTATTATGGTAATGTGATTACCTGTGTGTGAAGCACAGTGTGTTACAGGACAGGGAAGCACTTTTACCAGTATGCTTCGCGTTAAACTTTCAAGCTGTCGAGATTTCTTTCATTATATCTCTTCCAACGCTCTGAACAGTGTCGGGAATCTCATTCATCAAAACCATGATCAAACCAAATGCAAAAATCGACTGGAAAAATCATGTGTACCAGTACACTTCCAAATTTACCCCTAATGAACATTTTTTCACACCACCTTGCCGAGCTTCAGAGAATGACAATGCAACAGCTCATGTGTAGGTGCATTGAAGTTGACCTGATTTAAACTTTACGTGTGGTTGCCACAAATCATTCTCTCTGGAATGAGGCTGCTGTGCTACAGTACATGATATACGTGCAAATAAAAAAAAAGACTAATTTTATCAGGCGACAGGTGAAATGTCCAATTACATGTACATGTGGAGAAGAAATGGAATATTTCATCTGTCACTTCATGAAATGATTCTCCCCACTGCACAAATGTGAAACATTCATTATTTGCTTTAAATGCAATATACGTGTACCTGCATAAATCAACATCATCTGATTGGTTGACATCCAATATTTCATCTTTTGTTAGAAAACAAATGGTCATCAGGAAATTAACATCCTACATTTTGCAAAACGGATTCGAGTCTGAGGCACTACCCACTGGTAGTACATACATGTATACATGTACCATGCAATGTTAGATGTAGACTGGTTCCCGCCCATAAATTATATACATGTATTTGGATGGCAACCAGTCAAGAGAAATAAAGTTCTATTCCATGGGTACAATGGAATAGAACAGTTAATGACATGTGACCAAAGATCCGCCAATCAGATGACAGGGATTTATGTAGGTATTATATAATACGCTCAATTCACAGCAGTACGCCTCCAAGAGTTTGCAACGCACTGACCAATCACAGTGCGCAAAATCTGTCCACCCTTTCCAAACATGCATTGGGTTGACAGATTTCACGCACTGTGATTAGTCAACGCATTGCACACTCTTGGAGGCGCACTACTGTGAATCGTCTGTATTATTTCATGAGGTGGCAGAGTGAGGAGTGGCAGGTTTTTATTCTAGAAGGTGACGTGCAGTTGATTATGTAACATTTAATCTGTCCCCCATGAAGTTATTCTATGCATCAAGGGGCAAAAATACTTGTTTACACGGCACCTGAATAAATACTCCTATGTTAAAGCCCAACAACATGTTGAAAAATTGAAATCTAAGAATAAATTTAAAAGGTTTGATGTTAATGAAACTACATGTACCTATCATGTTTGCTCTTTATTTGGAAAAAGACGCTGCAACTTGTTGAGGACTACACTGTCGACCTAAATGCAGTGTCGAAAAAGGCTTATATAATGTCCTTTTTTGTGCATTCTGCATTTACCATATACATGTACATGATGTCATGGCGTGTAGTCGTTCAGCTGTGTGTGAATGTATCGCATGGCAGCATGGGCAATTCCTCCATGTGAATGCATCTGTGTTGTATTCCGCTCCATCACAAGTCCTTTCACAAGTCCTTTCACAAGTCCTTTCACAAGTCCTTTCACAAGTTCCTTCCCAAGTCCAGTCACAAGCCCCTTCACAAGGCAAGCGGATTCCTGTGCCTCCCCCCCCATTTGAAGTCTTTGACATTGGGCCCTGGGCTAGTCTGGGGCCTACTTGTGCAATACCCGTGCTAGCCCCCCTCCCTTCCTCCCCCAGACAGTCATGACAGTGGGGTTTGTCTGTCACACTGGCACTGACTAGGCCCCTACCATGAAGCTTAGCGCTGTGGACTATGAACCCAACAGAGTTAGGCCTACACGTAGCTAGGTTTCACTTGGGGAGGCCTAGTCTGATTAACTTGGACCCTACAAATCTCCTTATTTTAACATTTGGAATTTGCCAGGGAATAGTAGGGTCCATGTACATGTACATTCCATAGGCTTTTGCTTCTTTTGCTGGGGGTCACACTGTCCAATCACAGGGCTCCTCGTTATTTATGCCCAAATTGAAGGAAGACAAGCAACAGCCGTTGGGTACCAGTGCACGTGAGCGCGCTGTTGCACAGTGAACACTTCCTGTTGAGCTGAGTACAGGGCCCAGCTGCACACCAGCAGCGGGCTTCATGGGCCATTTTCCAATACTCAACTTTGTCTCCGTCTTAGGCTTCATCCCCGAAACTAATCCCTGATTGTGGGCCTGAAGCGTTTAAATCAAATTGGATTACTGTGAGTTTTTGCTCTCCAGCATCTTATTTGATGTTTTGTGGCACTATCAGACTAATTACTTCCCTTACAGCTTCAAAGTCAGGTAGTAAAAAAACAGTTGAAGCCTGAGACGGAGCCGAATTTGAGTATTGGAAAACGGCCATGCACTCAAAGCACATGAGCTCTCCATCTCCGCAGCAACATTACGAATGGCAAATAACCCGGTCTAATCAGAGAAAATGAATAAAATACCACAAGAGGATTCTGCAAAGGCAACTTCCGAGTTGTATTTGAAAAGAACTGATGAGCTTTAGGCATTGATGGAGATGTTTGTTTTTGAACTGAAATTACCATGTTCACTGTAATGTGTAACATTTTAAAAACACATGTCAAGATTACATTTATACGTTGTGTATCGGTACCTGCATTTACTTCGGCAGACGAGATATTGTCCTGATAAAATTGTATCTTCAAAAAAGTCGAGTGCATGGTCCTGAACATGGATACACGTGTAGATTTATCAATAATTGAGATTAAGAATTATTCTTGTGATTTCATTTGATTTCACCTTGGCACATATGGACAAGCTGAAAAGATTAAATTACTAGTTCAACTGAAAAAGTGTACTGTGGTTTGAAGGTTCGTTTAGTTGTTTTAAGTTAATTTGTTCTTATCTGAAGAGTTTATACATTATAATACTTTCTTCTGGTGCATTTTTGAAATAAGTTCTAGATATAGAACATGTACTGAAAAGGAATACACATGGATACGAAAGATGAATTAAAATGGTACTTCGTACAAACCCAGAATGCACCAGGAACGCGTCCTATAACAAAATGTGTGCTGCTTTTTGTGATAGGGAGAGTGTGTAGATCGGCTTTCCTCCCCAACCCCTTCTGTAGCATCTCGGGATGACACTTGACCTGCAGGTCTCACCAATAGATGGATTTCACATTAGCGCCGTCTGCGCATATCCGCATCAAAACCAAGGCTCTCTGTGTTGAACTTTGTCGCGTGCGCCCGCGGAGTCGACACAGTATATGCAGTACCCGGTTCGTAAGTGTGATACCACTTCAGTTTAAACCACGCCCACTGCACAAGATACAAGGCCATCGCAGATACATTAGTTCGCGGTAAATTGACATTGTTTTTCTTTTGATTTCACGCGTCCAGTCATTCTGAAAGACTCTTCAACAAAAATTTGCAGCCTGAAAAGTCTGAATTTAACACACCTTTATGTATTTTGTGTCTTAACTCCTTACTTTCAATCGTCTGATCGTATTAAGAAATAAAGCTGACACATACAGCCTTGTTCTCAAACGCGGAAGTGCACAGATCGATGCTAAAAGCGTCGTATTGGGATCCCTCTATTGTACTCTTCTTTCACGTTTAATGACCGGAAAAGTAATTTAGGCACGCCCAGAGAAGTGAGGCTGCCAATGCGGAACCTGCGGTATCCACTTCTTCCCTTTCTTTTTTGATATGCTGTCCCACAGCTACATGTACTGCAGCCAATAGCGGCTTCTCTACCAAAAACTGTGGCGGTCCATTATGGCCAGATCCACATAGACACAGGCCGAAACATCTAATACATGTACGTTTATTGGCCTCTCCTTGGCAGGAGTAAGTTATGTTGGTCACTCAAAGCACATGTATTAGTTTTGTTGACAAGTAAACAGTATAGCAGGATTAATTCACAGACTTTATCAGGAACGAATCTAGAAGGGGGTATCCCTGGCTTTTTTTAAAGTTACTGTTTTTATTTCCTCTCAAAGGTCTTTCACCAACCTTTGTTGGGTTTTATTTTGTGAGTCAGATTCAGGACATAACCCCCCCCCAAAGTTTCTGGTGAGGGGTTGGCTCCAAGAGTTGTGCAGTGACGTGATTTCTTTTTCCCTTCACTTGTTTTATCCTTAAAAAATGATGTACGTATAACGCTCGATGGCCATCGCCAGCCATGCTCGCAAATACGTACCGCCGCTCTTCCAACACTGGATAAGACTGTTTAAAAGCATTTTCCTTTTTTGTACAGCACAGACGTCTGACCATCTGGTATGTCTGGTTCACAAATGTACATGTATAATACAGAAATGACGTCATCTGAAAAAAGGTGTCGGAAAACTTTAAGAGGGGTTTTGACATCTTGTTATAATAAATTTGAAACTTTTGTATTTTGCTGACGCGCAGGTCTACGGCGACGCACGCCGACCAGAAATCAGTGAATTTCCCAGGGGCCTTACAGACATTTCACACCAGTGTAGCCTAAAATACGTACAGTCCCCCATTGGAAATTTCCAACCTGCACTTCCAAATCCAAGATTGTGTCCTGTTCTATGATTTTTTTCCCTGTTTAAAAGACTAGACCTGTTGTTTTGAAAAAGGTTGAATTGAATTGTTTTACATCATGCAAGGTTTCCACACGGGGTTAAATTTGTCACTGAAAATTTATGACATTCAAATGTCCTCAAAGCACTGCAAAGCTCCAACTTGTGAGTTAGAAGTGTTGATATGTCTTCCAGAGGTCAAAGCACCATATCCACTGTCATGAAAACAATCTCCAACATATCATTATGGCAACGTGTAATTTTGTAAAACTGATAATTTTTCCAAAGCACTAACACAATACATGCACACTATGCATATGTTTGCATACGTTCTTTTTTTTTGCATAAACTACATGATCACAACTTGACAAAAATTCCTTTTTTAGCATTTAATTCCCCTTCTCTGTGGCTGTTTGCTCCAATGTGCTTGCGCACAGCACAAAGATCGATGCCTGAACAAAAATAAGTGTTGATTAATGTGCTTTGACACATGTTTCAGTGCACAAAGCTGCTCAACAGGAAGTGTTCACTGTGCAACAGCGCGCTCACGTGCACTGGTACCCAACGGCTGTTGCTTGTCTTACTTTAATTTGGGCATAAATAACGAGGAGCCCTGTGATTGGTCAGTGTGAACCCCAGCGCTCTCCACAGCCAACATGCCATTTCAACCAGCATGACTACAACATGTACATGTATGTAGGCCTACATGTACATTTACGGTAGGCCTGAGCTGACACTACACAGCAATAGGCACAGGTACATGTCATGCATGTAGAGTTAGCAAGGAAACAGCCTAGGCCTACTACATGTACATAATTTGGGCCCTACATGCATGACGTACATGTATATTGTTTCAATCACATTCACAAACCATTGTCGATACCGAGTACATGATGTACGGCATCATGCTACAATGACCAGATACCGTCATATGCTGATGAGTCATTTACCATTGGAACACGTCAGGACCCCACAGCACCTTGTTAACGCAATTTCTTTTTACACTTTTTACAGTTCAGTCTGCCACACCACATAGACCACGGACATGATTAATTGTCCGACCATTTCTTGCCAGACACAAGGCACTTACCAGATTCTAACATTTTCACTCCAATTCATGAGAATAATTGAACAGTATAACAACAGAATCCTGTCCCTCGAATCTCCCTCGTTCACACAAAAAGGCAAAATTATGATGAGTTACGACGAAAGGATTTTAATACACCCGGCCCTCGTTGTACAACATCGGTTGGATACGAATATACTGTGCGGGTGGCTAGGTCTAGTCTACGTCTAGGTGTACACGGCGCGCGCACGCAAAACGTAAAGTATCCGTGATGTGCCTCCATACATGACCAATTTGCAAAATCTACCTGATCACGAATGCAACGACCTGAAATAGCGCCCCCAGTCACTTTTAGCATGGAGGAAAGAAGAGGCTGGCCTGATACTTTTCACTCTGGAAGATTATCACCGCTAGGACAATTTTTTTTTCAATTGCACAAAGGTTAGCCGAGTGTTATCTCCCCCACACTTTGAAAGGGTTCCTGCGATGAATTTTTTGTTATTCAATGCGTGAAACAAACTTGACATTCTTCTGGAGTATTGAAAAGTGCACATTGACACAATGAATTTATCAACCCTAAAATTTAACCCCCCCCAAAAAACCCAAAAGGGCTTGTTGGCTTGCTTATACCTGTGCACTTACACATAAAAAATCTCCAAAGAAATGCAACAGGCTAGCAAACACATCAACAATAATTCCAGCAGTTAAACTGTTGTGCAAAAATCTATGCAACATTGAGGTTTTGTACTTGGGATGACATTAGTATTGCTCAAGAATATGGGAATATGCAATGAGCATAAAAGCCAAGAAGACGCCAAAATAAAATAGCCTGACAAATATTGAAAATGAGGTTTTTTTGAAACACAAGGGTGCAAGGGTTGTCGTAATATATTTGCAATGCACGGACCTCTTTAGAATTCGATATCCTTTCCCTCCAGTTGACATTGTCAGTGGTTTTTGCAAATAGAAGGGGATATCGGCTGTTCATTCAGGCTTCATGCAAAATGCAATGTGGTGGGAATGTGTGACGTCACGACAGATATTAGATATTTGCGCATATGTCCACTCTCGAAGTTGGCAGCGAATTAGGTTTGGTGATCTTTTTTTTACAGTCACGGGAAGTGTGACCGAGGGTTTAAAGGCGCCATTGCAATCATTTGTGACCCCAAACTCAGCACAGATAACCTCGACTGATTTTTTATTGCCGACCTTGCAAACCGTAACCTGTAAAAATATCATATTTATTTTAGGATAAGGCACCATAATTTTTAGCTACTTGCATCACAACCTATAATAATTTTGAAATTTTTTTATAACATTTCGATTCCAATTAACTGGGAATTACGTATAACCGCAAAAACCGATTACGAACACCCGTCTTTACCTGTTACCACGCGAACAACTAAATGTACGTGTATACGCCTTCTGTGATCATGCACGGGAACGTTACTCGTGAGATATATCTGCGCACGAGAAAGAAGACGCATAGTTACAACAGGACTATTCGGGGAAGGATGACGACCACGATGCCTTTAGCAAAACTGTCTGTCAAGAATACATGCAGTACGTACAAACTATGCCTATAAAGGCGAAACTATGCGTGTCCCCACCCCCTGTGATACCTGTAACCATGGTGTAACCTACCTATAGCCCGGGGCTATTGAAACACACTTCTCAGAGTAAATTGTTTATTGATCGAGAAAACACCACTACAAAATATCTTTATAAATCTTCACTATCCAAGAGCCTTTTGGGTTGAACGAAAAACAAAATTATCTAGACGTTATGCATCGCTATGTAATAAGTATGTCATCGACAGTTCTCCTTTCTCTGGCTGTCAGATTTTCGACGTAATTTGTCTTCCGATAAACTTCTTCCAGTTTAATCTGTATAAGATCGTAGGCACTTACAAAATTTTATGGGAGCTAGTAAACCAAGGGCTGCGGGTTAATATATACATGTATAAAGTTTATAATCGACTTCCTAAAATACTTCTTTCTATGAAAATGAAAAGCGAATTCTTTAATTAATCGAAAGCAAGTAAGCCCTATGGGTTCCTTGAAAGCCATTATATGTATAATTATTCATTTACCGCCGATGCGAACAAAGTAAAGTTGTATCAAGAACAGTCCCTGTCTTAAAAATGTTAAGCTTAACTCTGTATACGCAATCAGTGGCATAACTACGGGGGGTGCCCCCCAACGGAGGCCCGTGCCCCCCCTTGAAATTTTGAAATGGACAAAAAATAAATGTAGGCCTACCTAGTTCAATTATTTTCAGTGCCCCCTAAAAACAAATTGTGCACCCCAGGTACCCCCCTCAGCTGTAGCACCCTAGTTACGCCACTGTACTCAGTGAAGGTGGAAATAACTTGAGCTTTCCGTTACGGGCTGGTGACGGTTAAAATCCGGTTTTCAAAGGGACATATTGTAAGTTAGCCGATAGGCTACGGTTTTCAAAGTCAAAGTCATTGGAGAACAAGAACGCCTTTAACGCGGGCGCTGCGGACTGACTGACGCGTGAGAATCATCATACGTTTGGAGTGCTCTGATAGGGCACTCACGTGCGCATTGCTGCTCAGAATGACCTTCAGCACCTCCATTTGGGTCTGAATTGTTTGAGTTCTAGTGAACCGGCAATACAGGAATTGGTAGCCGATTGTCCAGGTATTATGCCTTTCAATAATCTGAAAACTTTTCTTGCCCAAAAATTTTTAACAAATGATCGTACCTGCTTTTAGGTTCTTCCATTTCCCCATCATTTTCAAAAACGCTCAAAACGCTAAAAAGAAAACACAAAACGACATAGCCAATTTTCAGAGTTGACCTCTCTTTTGCGTGCGTTTAATATGCTCATGGAAATGACGGAAAATGGATTGTGCCTAAGCTCAAAGCGGAGAGCTTGACTCCTCTCTTTCTCCGACATCCAATTTATATGGCAAACCCTCCCTTGTTGCTCGTAAATTGTGTCTCTCAATCCGATCTACCCGAGCCCTGTATGCCATACAACCCCCGAAAAAGAAGACAGACAACACCAAAGCACCAATGACTGCTCCAATCAAAGTTTCGATGACGGCAGTAGCCTGCTCTGAGGATAGTTTTAACCCGATGCCTTCACCGACCACGCAAGGCTCTTGATCCGGCGGGCAGGGTGTCACCTCAGAAGGTGGAGGAACAGGTGACGTGATGGTCGGTAGGTAAGCTGCCCAGAACCGGAGGAGATGTGGCCAGTCGTTGTCAACGCCAGAGTAGGCTTGGGGGCAGTCGGTGAGTGACATGTACTTGAGGTCATCTGAGTCGAATGATGGCCACTCAACGCCCGACAGAGAAGTCCCAGGGTTACTGTCCGGAAGGCAAGATAAATTTTGTGCTCAAAATGACTCATATAGGTAAGTCGGGTATCGAAGACTTATTAAATCAAGACAGGACTAACATTGTCTACAGTGACTGACTTCACACAACTTTGACTAATACAGGTATTTGACTTATCTTTGACGAATGAAATAATGTCAGTCATTGGCCTGTCTGACTACTTTAAATGAGTGGCCTGTCTGAATGGTTTAAACTGGTCATTTAAACATAGAGCATAGAAACAGAATTGGGCTTATCCCAATTCTCTTTCCGTCTGTTTCCATTATTATATCAAATTTCCTCTCATAGGGACTACAATTCACTGTAAACAGTCATTTTGACTGATAAAAAAAGTGCTGATGGGAAAAGGGACGTACAAACTTGGGCGTTTGCAGGATTTTCGGGGGGAGCTCCTTTTCAAGGGGCAAATTTCAAACACTCATTTTTCATCTCTATTCATCTCCTTTTATCATTTGCTTTTCTCATTTTTCCGTTTTTCATTTTTCAATTTCCCGGCATGATCAAGCCCCCTTGCCCCCTCCCCCCTCGCGACGCCTATAAATTAAAAATCTTACCCATTGTAGATGAAATTTTTCAAGAATTCCATGTGTTCCAAGGTGACCCGCTTGTCGTTAAGCCTGTAGGACAGGTCGAATTTGTCCACAAGAGGACTGTATGGATCACCAAACAAAAACTGCAGACTATCGTCAGCAGTTGCACCGTAAAGAGGTAGCAGTGGTCGGTATTGGACAGACGGTTTGTGTTCAAACAGGTATACGTAGGCCGATTGACCAGCGTCGGCGTGGAGCCTGGCGGTTTCCAATAAACTCCAGCCTGACAGCTGGTCGTTTAGGAGCTTCCTGAAACTTCCCCTTGTCTCGCAATCGTCACCTAATCCGCCTTTTCCGATATATTCCGTCGCCAGAGCCGACGCTGCTTCACCAGGATTGAGAAAAGAGAGCCTGCTAACAGTTTCTATGTATTGCTCGAGTTCTCCAACACTCGGACAGCCCAAGCCGGTGAAAAGCAGGCTTCGAGCGCCATTCTCGTCGAGTGGAACTCCAACAATAACATCAACGTCGTTAATTCTGCCGTTTTTCAGCAGCTCGATGGGTCTGTCAGTGATGAAATCCCCGTCAACGACAACCGGGAAAGCAACCCCAAATGGAGGATTTACGGTGTTGGATACGATGTCTGCTGCTGGTTTCTCACGAAGGCAATTGATCATCGCCTCACTGCTAGTGGTTGGGCATCCCAGTTTGGTGGCCAAGGCCTTCGTTGTTTCAGGAGCACTCGGGATGACTTGATTGTTGACAGGTGGGGATATAGCAGTTGTAGCCATCAGAACAGTTCTATTGAATAAGCCTTTTGCCTTCTCAGAGAGTACTAAGAGATGTGTCAGAACGCCACCTGAGCCGTGACCGAAGACTGTAACGCGTCCTGGGTCACCTCCAAAGCTTCCGATGTACTTGTTGACCCATTTGAGAGAAGTAAGGATGTCATGCAATCCGTAATACCCAGGAGCTGCCTCGTCCCCCGTGGACACGAATCCTAGAGCTCCCAGACGATAGTTTAGAACCACAACAATAGTTCTGATTTGCGATGCAAGAAGAGTTGCATCGTGGACGGAGGATGTGCCGTGTACTCCGAACCCAGTGTGAACAAAAACAAGAACTGGTAAAGCAGTGTCGTTAGCGTTTTGAGTGGGAGCATAGATGTTAAGAGTCAGACAATCTTCACTTGTGTGGTTCAACCCGAGGCGAACCATCCAAGGGTCTTGTGTAACATCTTGAGGACAGGCAGCTGGTAGCTTCTCCGGGATGCCGAGTGGTTGATCACCCCACGGTCCTGTATCTTCAGGTGGTTTGAATCGCAAATCACCAAGGGGTGGTTTTGCGTAAGGAATACCCAAGAACTCGGCAACTTCGCGCCCTCCCATTGCCTCGTCAGCGACTCGCAGAGCACCAATGATAGATCCCAGCACTTCACCGTCTTTGCTTTCTATCTGCACAGTCTTTGTGTCCGGTTTTTGCACGGTGCCACTTCTGACAGGTACATCATAGGAACACGTTTTCTCATTAAACGGCTCCGTAATGGTTGGGATGTACTCGTTCCAGAAGGCGACTTTGTCAGCTTTGAGGCGCTGTCCCGTACTTATGTTTACGTTTAGAATGATGTACGTTTCGTTCTCTGGGTCAAAGTCCGGCCACTCGGGTGAACCAACCGCATTAGGATTCCTTCAATATAACAGAAAACAACAAATATTAAAGACAAACAAATCACCTTGAATCAAATGTGGATTTACGTCAAAAGATGAAAGTATTATTTGTGCATTTGACAATTGTCTATAAATCCACATTTATGTCGCAGACTTTAGGGGTGGCATTCCGTTTCTATTGGTATATTAAAACGTGATTTTGAATTTTTGTCTGCTGGGGCTTGCCGGAATCCCAAATACCGTACAGACAAGCATGACCATTTTTTTTAACGTGATGTCATTTGTAAGTCCCCTATGAAATGAGTACATTATTATCTCTTGAACTTTTAACGTTTTTCATGTCTGAAATTCGAAAGACACGCTGAAGATAGACGAAGTGTGAAGTCTACACTCCCTTTTCCGAAACGGCTTATGACTGACAAAAACTACATTATTTTTATTCTCATCTTTTACTTTTGCTTGTACGCGGATTTAACTGTACAGCAAAGCATCTCTCAAGCCACACTTTCACTGAGTTTCGACCGGTCTCGTAGGCATTGTGCAGCGAGTGCAAAAATCTTAAAATTAAAGATTCTCTCGACTAGTTTGGTGCTGTTTTCTTTCATTTGAACTAATTTCGTTCTAACAGAAGGTGTAATGTGTGCGAAGCGAATCAGCCCTTTCACTTCGAACAAAACATCGGTAAAAACGTGCATGCGAATGAACAGTCATTTTCATCGGCTTACGAAACTTTGGTCCACCCTTACTTACTCGCATAATAGTACCAAAAGAATTGCATTCGACAATGATGGAAATACAGTGCCGCAAACCCTCATCAAAAGTCCTAAATGAATCTTACAGGATCCTGTAGGATTCTCTAAAATTATAAAGATTTCCAATGGGAAATGTTTGTGGCTGTATGGATACCTTCAGGTTTCCAAGGAAAATAGTGTGCGCTATAAGACAGTGTTGTATTCGAGTCCCTTACAAGTCCCTTTAAGCCATCAATTCACAAGCTATTCAAATGAGCTGTGACAAAAGAATTCTTTTGTTATTGTTCACCCTGTTACCTTTGACTGGCCTTGGAACTTGTGACTCAGAGTACATGGGACTTGTGATGGACTCGACTCCAACACGGCTGTAAGATTCTGAAGGATACCTGTTGGGCTCCTTTCGTGTAATGCGTGAGCGGAATCAGAAACCCACTACTGTGGTGGCACACCGCTCGTGGGTGTTACGCGCACGTTGCATGCGTGCTTCAGTGTGGTGCCGCTCCTTTATCCGCTCTGAGAAGAGCAAAAGAGGGCGTGTTTTGAAATGTGTGGTCTTTGCGTGCACGCCTAACGCGTGCTAGAACCCGGTTGAAAAACTTAGTGCCATCTGTCTGTCTTTCGCCGGTAAGGGTGCACTTCAGCTCAGGGCGTATTGTTCTGCAAGATGACGCCACACACTTACATGTGCACTGTCCTATAGGTCTCGAGATGGACTAGAAGAGGACTCTGTTTTCTTAGCAACGGAGACTCCTTTGGTTGAAACGGAGCTCCGCTGGTTCACGAACGACTAGGAAATGCACGCCTCATGGTCGCATCACTACCAACTACTACTCCCGACTAACACGGCTCTTTTCAACCGATGAGGGATGCTTCTGTTCGAGGCGGATAGATCTTTCTTTTTTGCTTTTCTAAACAAATTTTGGACACTTCGTATCGGTGGTCAAAATTTGCTAAACGTTCTCCCTCGGTTCGCCTCTTTGATGCCTTAAAACACACTTTTAGTGTGATGACCTGTAACATAGGAGGCATTTTCATTTAGCAGAAATAGTTATCATTTATTTGCGCGAGGTTTTTTTAACACTGAGTAAATTTTTGTTTGAGTTTTGTACTCGAGGTCAGCTATAGTTTTGCCAACCAAATCTGGCTTGTGACGTAGCAAAAGAAAGGTCACTAGATCCCCATTTCACTGAACACCATTAAAAAGTATCGCGTAAACAAACCAATCGAGGTCAACAGTACAGATCTTCGGTCGATTTATTCACTGTGGCCATGAGTATAGCTTTGGCGTTCCATGCTTCAAGAGACCGAACAGAAACGATTTTCATTGTTGTTGGACTCACAGTAGGGTAATCTTGAGTCCCTTGTACGGTTGGTGTTGGCATGAGAGCGGAGCTTATAAATTAGGAAAGCAGGCCGTGTCTGAAATGGGCTTCCAGAGCTACGGCTAGGTCAACTAGTTGTCTGTGCGTCTCTGCGTAGGAGTAAAGACTTTGACCTAGTTCTAGACAAAGGATTCCGATTTAGCCGTAGTAATGTATTTGAGAAGGCGCAGATTAAATTTAATCCAATGGATGGAATATCATGACATCCCATTTTTTGGGTGTAACCAATATCAACACGTTAAGTTATACTACTTTTTAAGCCTTTGCCTTTAAATAGAATCCCCAACCCTCTTGAAAAATTGTCCCAAACACTTTCACAGGAACCTTAATTCACTATTATTGGTGTTTACGGCATTCAATATTGTATCGTTCGGTATGGAAGCCACCCCCCTCACATCCTACTTGTAGACCTCAGTGGAAATTTCATCTGCATACGGGTCAGCTTTTTATCGTTTAATGTATCAGTCATGTTTTAATGCAGCAGTCATGTTTTTTTCTGGATTTGATGCTTTGATGTTACCATGCTTTGATGTTTTGACGTGTTTAGCTTGCGGATCTTGCTTTCAGAATGTTTTCCTTCATTGTATGATTTTCGTTTTAAAATTTGTCATAGTGATTTGTTATTTATTTCTATTTGGCTCACGCACTGGTGTGTTCTTGTGAGTTCTTTGATCTCGGTGTATAATGGAAGACCTTTACCTCCGATCAAGAACTAGTCTTCGGAGCAGGGGCCCAACGACGGTAACTTTGTATCTGACCTTTCTGAGGGGTGAGGATAAATTGTTTTTTTTCTACGCTCTAAGGAAAAGGGGATGAAATAAAATACAGGTAGTCATCAAAATTGCCTTTCATTTTTCAAACCTCAAAGAGAAAACTTTTTCGGGGTAGAGCAGGTCCCTTAGGTTGTCGCCTGTTATGGGTGATCACCAAGCTATTTGGGGTTCCAAGCCTCACTTTCACTTTTTTTCAGATGTGGCTTTAAACTAAAATTATTTCAAAATTATTTTAAATACAAACTCTTATGTATGTGTTATGAACTCTTATATCGTTGCTGTTATTTTTACTCTCAAGGTCTTAAAATAAAAAGGTTAACCTCTCTTTGAATTTAAGATGGCTGACACATTATGAATACAGTCTATTGTAATTACTCACCCACTTCGTGCAAATTGCGCCCAGAAGTTCATTATCTGGTTGGATAATGCAGCAGCTTCCGCGTCTCCAGGATAAAGCGAGTTTGTCAAACCAAAGACGTATAACAATTCCAAGCCTTGAGGAGAACCTGATACCCAGTCATCCCACTGAGGCGGTAGGAAAACATCCTTACCAGTTTCGTAAACGAAATAGTAGAAGTACGTGTTAGTGCCTTCAGCAGCTTTAGTGTGGCGGCCAAGCAAATAGACGGAGGGTATGAAGAAGGAAACATCGCCTACCACATCTAGGTATTTCAGAACATTTCCTCTTGGGTCTGCAAGCTTGTCTCCACCGAAGTAGAAGGTTGTAATTGCGTCAGAGATAGCTTGTGGGTTCTTACACCTGCAGACATTTGATATGGAAGCCCGTATAGAATCTCTAAGGTCCCCTGCCGAAAGGTTATCTGGTACTGAAGCATGGATAAAAGTCCCCTCTCGACTGTTCACCCCTAAGAGGAGGTCGTACTGTCCAACTCGGGGATGGGACAAGAGGGAGTTAATGTCGGTGGTGAGAAACTCGCCGTCAATCGTAGGTGCTGTTTTAAAGAGGTCACTGTGTCTCAGAAGGTCCTGCATGCTGGACTCGCGAAGACAACTGATAACAGTACGAGATGAACTTTCATACGGTGAGTCACACCCAAGAGCAGAGGCAAGATTTAACACCTCTCGCTGAGCTGAAATGCCGGAAATTATCTGGCCATGGAATGCCGCTCCACTCTGGGCAATCACCCGCTGGAAAAGATTGTTGTCATTCAGCGGTGAAATCATTTGGTAGGTCACGCTCCATCCTCCTGCCGACTGACCAAAGATGGTGATTTGGTTTGGATCACCACCAAAATCGGCGATGTTGTCTTTGACCCATTGGATGGCGAGGCGTTGGTCCCACAATCCGTAGTTCCCAGGTGCTGCGTCATCCCCAGTGCTGAGGAAGCCGAACAGTCCGAGACGGTAGTTGAAGTTGACCACAATAACCTGCCCCTGGACAGCTAGTAAAGTCCCATCATACAAGTCCCCTCGTCCATTCGTTAGTCCGCCACCGTGTATGTAAATCATGACCGGGAGAGGTCCAGACGAGGCCACAGCATCATGAGGAACGTACACGTTCAGAACTAGACAATCTTCGGAGAAATTCATGTTGGGGAACAATTGATCAAACAGCGAGGCTGCGCCTACCGGTATCTGGGGACAACTTGGGCCGAAATCGGTAGCATTGAGCACATCGCTCCAGGGGGCTCGTGGCACGGGTTTAGCGAAGCGCAACTGACCAGTCGGTGGCTCAGCGTACGGTATCCCAGTGTAGCGTGTTATTACTGGCTGAATGAATCCAGGCATGATCATTTTTAAACCCACTACTTCGCCTGAACTGGTGTTAGTTACAGCCAAATTCCCTTCTCCAAGTTGGAGACCAACGACGAATATGGCCCAAATCAACATCTCACCGATGTTTCCTGAAGTCTTTTATTGGTGAAAACCTTGTCTCTTGTAGCTTGCAGGAAAGATTGTGGTCTCATGAGCAAGTGTCTGAAGTACACAACACCGGCGCTTTTATACACCTGTTCACCCAACCGCGCAATAACCGTGGAGTGGTTGTGCTCCGTACCATGGCAGTCATTTGCTGTTTTCGTTACCTTGCTTTTTACGACTAGAGGGACTTGATCTGTTAATGTCAACGTACTTATATTTCCTGTTGAAACCAAAGCACTTTGCTCACGACAACAGGCGTTTGTACAAATGTACACTATGTCAAAAGGTTAAAAATGCTAAAAAACTACCAAAATTTTTTTTAATGCGTGCATTCTGCCTTGGCGATGCCAATAAATTTGTAACGTGAATAGGCTGAAAAAAATTTGCAAAGCACCCCAAAAGCGTGCATATGGAAAGGCACCTTTACTAACTCGCTGCGGCGACTCGCCATCTCGCCGCGGCGACTTAATATCTTGCCGCGACAAGTTAAATCGTTGAATATCTATCTCGCCGTGGCGAGTTATAAGATCTTACGGCGGCGTCAAACTGATATCCCACTGCGGCGAGTATTTCAATCGTCTCATAAATCCTGTTTAGCCTGCCATCGTTTTCAAATGCATCCTCAGGTGACGCAATGACGTTTGGTTTTAGAATGCTCGGAAAAATAGGATATGTTACATTTCAAGAAAGCTTGGTTTCAAACACGAAAGAAAACAAAAGAAATTTCATTTTGGGGTGTGAACTTCCACATTCAGATGAGGGGTAGACTGGTTTTTTTTTTCTATTTCCTTCCTACATTTCCAAATGCCGAGCAGAAGCAAGAGGACTTGAAAATTACATTTGAAATTTCATCAGTCGAAATTTATTAATTTATAGTACTTAAAATGGAGTTCAAAAACAGTACTTTTACAAACGCAACGCCCGAAATACCTCACAGAGTTGGACGCTCAAAGCGTTTTAGATTATTTAGTGCAGTAACCCTGAATAATATATTAGTACACACGTGTCATGCGCACCCAGAAAATGTCGACCTGGGTTCAAATGTCAAAATAAAGTCTATCCAACATGCTTTAGAGAAATATATGTTATGTATTTGCCTTTCCCAGGCGCCTGCGCTGTTTAGGTGGTGTTTGACGAGTGAACGCGTGGATTCGAGGTCAAAGCGCCGGGGGATTTCAATCCAGTTGATGAAAACGCGTGTGTTAGTTTCCCTTTCAACTTCACTTCATTTTTGCCTGTTGAAATCTCCCAATCATAGCAAATTTTAATGTTAAAATGGTATCAATATCGAGGATCGGTCTGAAATGGCAACACACATTCGCGAAAAGTATGTATGGGCGTCGACAGAATAACAATAACATTAACTGCGGGAGGGGTTGATTTTCTTTTTTTCTCTCAACAAATAATTTCATTCAATTTTGTTTCTAATTTTCTTGTTTTTGTTTCTTTTTTGGTTCTTTTCAGGGTCCCCTCGCGGCGCGTATGCAAATTTGATTATTTGCACAGGCACTGAAATGAAAAGGCACCTTTCAGCAGGCAATCTACCAGGGAATCAAAGTAGTCTACCCCACTTCTGAATATGGAAATTCCTCCCCCCAAATAAGATTTCTTTGTGCTGTAAAATCAAACTTTGTTAAAGAACAAGCTTTGTTCAAAGCAATCTGAAACCCAAACCCCAAACTCACTGCATTCCACCTTGATTGTAAATTTGAAAACGACAACACTCTAAATAAGATTTCATGAAACTACTGAAGTATTTGCCGCGGCGGGAAATTCAATGTAACACTGGGTCAAGATCGTCTAACTCGCCGCGATGAAATACACATTCAACAATTTAACTCGCCGCGGCTACATACTAACTTTAAAAAAAATTGCAAGTGGCTTTTATACGCTTCCGTACTTCTGTAACTAAACACCCATAAGCGCCGACTTGACTGGGTGTCAACTTTCTAGCATATTGATTCTGGGTTGAAAAGAACGGTTAGGCTACACATGAAGGAAACTTCAATGTTGAGTTTGAAAAGATTGTTAATAGCGATTTGCATATTGGGTGGTAAATCAGCCTAGGCTACATTTTACTGATACTGTAATAGACTGTGAATACGGTCGATTGAGGATCACACTAGACGTAGCCCTGTTTTTTCCCTCTTCTGTATGAAACACGCATTGCTTATGAGACAAGAAAGTTTCCTGTTTTCTGCAACTTACCAATAAACCGATGACTAAAGTAAGGCAATATAAGATTGAGCCAAATTAGTAATGCTTAAGGTCCAAAATCTCTAACCGCCACAGAGTTCAGGGAAAAACATATCTCTGACGTATGCCCCCATATGCCCAGTGTGTCTTCGGCACATTTCGCTCATCACTCATTTCCTGACACGAGTGGGAGGCTTTTTTTGGGGGGGGGATGTGGATACTTTATATGTGAGATTTTCTGCAACTGACATGATTAAACTTCCACATTCCAATTAAAAAGGACATGCATTTTCAGTGTTTAGCCTCATAACTTGTATCAATTCCTAATAGATTACGGTAGTAGTTTAATACATTCTGTATATTCCAAGTTTATTAAGGCTTGAATAATTTTTGTAATGAATTCTGGGCAAACTCTTAAACTTATCTGTCTAAAACGCATGAGCGTTACGTTAGTGAATGTTAATTAAAAATATTTCCTATTTGCATAATGCTTGCAACTCTCTGGGGCCAGGGATGCATGAGACGAGTTGTGAAATTCGTGCTTGGACATTTATCCTCACTTGGACCGAGAAGAAAAGGCTAAAACTCGCCGCCGTAGAGGGCGCTATTATGCTGCGTATTATGCTCCAAGCTTCGCGCATGAACGACCTCCGTGACGCGTGCATATGTCCGCTCGCTGTCGTGTCGCGGTGTTGCATTAGGCCTTCCTTTCATTAAGGAGCCAAGGCAAGGTAAGAATTGATTGTGCAAGGGCCTCTTTGCTGTTTTTTTTTGGGGGGGGCCTCAAGATACGTTAGGATGAGTTTGCTTGCAACTGCTCAAGTTTGCTAATTTAGCATCTCCGTTAGGCCATGGAGGTAGTGATTCTACCTCCATGGTTAGGCCAAATCATTTACCGTACAGTGCAAGGAATAGAGTAGGCCCCTACTGCCAGCAGGACTGGACAAGTCTCGTTGGGCGGCCTCCAACCCCCAGATCCCAGTTTCAGTGTGTTGGGTCCACGTCTTACAAGCCCCAGATCCCAGTTTCAATGTGTAGGGTCCACGTCTGGTCTATGCGCGCGGTCTGATGTTCGCGCTCCAGCTGGACATGACAACGTTGACCAGGGGTGATGGGGAGGAGGGAGCTGGAGCTGGACAGCATATGGCCATTGCATGTAATGATGCATTGCCAAGTGTCCCAACAATGCTGTCCAGGATTGTAGATTCATGGAAAATTTCACAGTGTTCCAATTATTTTTATTTAGGCCTAGGCCACAGGCCTTATTGCTAAATCAGATAGTATTTTGCACAATGGTACAAATTACAGTGGCATTGTGGGAAGGAAAAAGGAACAAACATTTCCCCCTTTTCCTTCCCACAGTGCCTTTCTGCCATTGTGCAGAATGTGACCGGTATGGGGCTACGGGCATTTCGAAATGAATGGGTTAGGCTTGGTCTTGAGTTTCGCTGGTTCCAGTCAGAGCCTCGCATGCAGTTTGGAATGCTGCATCAAATGGCTGGAATCAGCGAAGCCGATGACTAAAGCCTAATCCACTCATTTCGAAAATGCCCTGAGCTTGAGCATGTGTTTAAAGAATTCACTCCCGTCGCTGTAGTTGGGTTCCCAATCCCATTTTCATCAATGCATTCAGACTTAGAAAATTGTAAATTGCATCTCCCACCTTCTTGGTGTAAAGCTAGTACAAGAACAGTCATTATGACAAAATATATGTGCACCAAAGTATAACTGTATACATTTTGATATGTTTAACCCTCCTTTGGTTTTACAGCACAAATATGCACCGGTGCCCACAGTCACTCTTGTGCATGTATTTTCTACATGGAACCCAAACTTGCACAGGTTCAGTGTGCAGACAGTTGGTTGCCAGCACAAAATGACCCCGGGG